AATTTGCATACATTTGTAGATGCTGGCCACGTGAGTGAAAACTCTCTGTTGCCTTTTTGCCGTTCTCTTTGTCGTCGCCGTTGTGGCATCTTAAAGTCCCTAATGATGATTTTTTTATGCTGTCTTTGTTGGTTAATTATTAACCATCCCCAGCCCAACCTCTAATCAGGGGGAACCTCTATTCAAGGGACACTTGCTTTGGTCCTGAGGGTGTCCCCTGAATAGAGGTTTTGTATTTGTTTTATCTATTGCTTCAAGTTTGATTTTTTTTTTTTTCACAGCTCACTTAATAACTTTCTGCGCTTTGCACTGTGAGCCTGTCGACTTTCTTGATCGGTATTATTATAATAATCTTTGATACCTAAGACTGACTTTATAAGCTCCATTTCTTGTACACTGTACAAGTTAAAATTCACACCAAATAGTATTGCACGAAACCCGAAATGGTAAGAGCGACAATGGTCCCTTTTTTTAAGTGAAATTTACTTGACATTATAAATTCATTCTTCAGGTATTATTAAGTCAGTCCAATAATGAATTTTTTATGTGTCTTGCATAATAATATTTATCATCTTTATTTAGCCTTTTACCACTTATTATCCTGGCCCCTTTTTTCAAATTGTAATCTTTCATCTACTGTTGGGGAGAGAAGATGTTGCCTGACTTGCTCATGGTATACCCAAATTAGGTCTGGGGACGAGCCAGGGACCGCATGGTCCAGTGTATCCGCACATCATAAGGATTGGTTGCAAAAACAAGGAACAAACAAAGTAACCGTGGAACCTTAACCCTAAACAAAAGACATATGGGGATCCAAATATATATTAGAGGTTCTGAAGAGCTGCAAGGCTACTGTTATGACAAATGATTTTGAGCTGAACATTTTGAACAAATTTTCCTATAACTGATGGCGCACCTGTTTATAGTGGTACTACTGAGATCTCGGTTAAATGGAGTGTGAATATAGTTGTATTCAGCTGTAATTTTACGATACAGTAAACACTGACTAATAAGTATGGTAGAATAGGTTCTTGTATTTTGGGGTACTTATTAGCAATTTAGGCTATGTAGGTTCTTAATTAGGTTCTTAATTGTTATGAAGGAGATGATAGCTTATGTTGATTACCAGAAAAATAATTCAAACTTTTATTTATTCACAATTGTGTTATTATAACCCAAACAAAACTAGTTACCGAATTTATAAACAGTTTTATATCGTACAGTATGTTTTCGTTATTCTGCTAGATATTGCTTGGCTAAACAGGTTCTTGTATTTTTGGGAATTAAAGTGGCAAATATTATTGCCAGGAGGTTCTTAATCCACAGGTTCTCATTAGCGGGTGTTTACTGTAACTGCCCCTATATAGTCAAACCTGTTTTAGCGAATGTCAAAAAGCGGTCGCCAAAGTCCTGGAAATAGCTTCCCTTGATTATTGAAAGAACTGTTTGAGCAGCCGTGGTCACGTTTTTTGGAGGTCCCAAAGAGTATTATAGTACAACCCCCGTTAATACGGTCACCAATGGGTCAAAAAAATTTAGTCGTAATAGCAGGTTACCGCATTAACGCTTCTTTTTTATAAGAATTTAAAATGTATGGCTGTTCTGCTAGGTCGGGCCGGAAAAAGGTGGCCGTAATAAGTCGAGGTGACCGTATTACTGCAGTGGCCGTAAGGCGGTGTTCCACTGTATTAAACTGCCCCTTCTGGCAAGATGTGCCATACTCTTGAGTGCAAAGGGATAGACTACTGTGTAGGCGTTTTGTGGTCTTTTAGAGACTTGCCAATAATAATAATGATAATGAACCTTGTTAAAGTCTCATGTCTTATAGCTCAGGCGCAGTGCCTTACTAATTGGGGAGACTGTATCATATTTATAAACTCTAGTAATATATTGTAAATTCTAATTATAATTTAAACTCTAGATTCTAGTTCTAATAAATTTAATAACTGCCTAATAATATCTCTGAATCGTAAATTGAGTAACTCTAAAAAAGAGTAAAATGGTGAGGCGAACTAATACCAGCCCCAAAAGGCGAAAAAATGTGATATTCTGAACCTAGAGCTGGCAAAAGGGGTGAGAAATGGGTAGAAGAGTAGTGAGATTCCCCATAATTCCTAGTGGAAGGACTTTCAGTGGAGATTATGGGTATTGGAAGTCACTATATCACTTAAAAGCTGAAGCAGTAAACTTCACGATCAATATCACTATTTAGGTTTTGTAATTTCTTTGTTTTGTTGGCGCCATCTTGAAACAAGAGTAACAGTAGGTCTGCATGCACATTGGTGGCAGCGGTAAGTTGCGCAGTAGGCTAAAAGAATAGTCGCGTTTGATTACATTCTATTTCCGTTTTGTTTGGGTTGAGCTGGCCATCTATTGATATCTAACTTGCAAACGAACCCTGGCTCCAAAATGTTTTGGATTTGGACTCTTCCAGAAATTAAGCGTGAGAAATGAGTTGTCAACTCGTGAGAGCGTGAGACAGGTCCTAAAAGACGTGAGACTCACGACAAAAGTCGTGAGACTTGTCAAGTCTGCTTTTACTCCCTTTCTTTTGACACAAGAGGGCTGCTACCAACAGTTTGAGGTCAATTTGTCGTGAGATAGATATTTCGCTCTTTCACTATCTTCATTTCCTTGAATATTAACTCTTAGGTTTGTAAACCTGTCAACCTGTAGTAAGCCGACGTTGAGTAAGTCATTCCCAAGGATGACCGCTTTATACAGGTTTGACTGTATTACTTTAATTTTATCATTATCTTTCCTTACCGTTTCAGTTTCACATTATGCCTGAATCTACAATGAAGGTCACCAATAATACAGTTACAATTAGTGAACTATTGAGACGGCGTCCTCTTGAAAGGGGACAAACTGTTCAACTAAAAGATGCTGATCCAAGTGAGCTTCAGCTTTTTATTGAAAAGATGCCCGCCTCTACCAAAGGTAAGACTAAGAGTATGAAATGGAATTCCCAATCCTTTGTTTGATTTTGGTTTTGGAACAAAGAGGCACATGGTTGAACCTCTAGCTGTAAGTCATATAGTGTATAAATTCAGGAAGATGAAGCTTATGACGAGAGTTCAGTACGGTGATTGTAGTTTGGTGGTTAAACCCGTACAAGCAGTCAGACAATGATACAAGCAGCCCAAGCTTATGGTGTCAGGAGTTAGTTAGGTTTTGGTTTTTGAATTTTAAGGTATTTGATTCAACCCCGTACAGGTAGTCAGTCAATGATACAGGCAGTTGGTGTGGGTAGTTAAATAAACTGTAAGTTTGTTTTTTTGAATTTAAAGACGTATACTGTGCAAGGAAAATAGGGCTGTCATATTTAAAATTTCTAAGCGAAATATCCAAAGGCAATGATGAGCCAGTAATAAAAACAGAGTTTTAAAAACGGTGTTAAGCAAAATCGCGTTTTAAGCGCTTACAAATTTGGTCTACTTTCGGCCTTTGGCGTGTCTTTTATGCCGCAAAATATTATAATTGATAGAATTAGCGCAAAATGTAATGACATTAAGCATTAACAGCTTTTTGAGCAAAATGTAGCAATCATATAAACTGAAGTGCAACAAATTTTTAGCGCAAGACGTAACAACTTCTTTTACGCGAAATGTTACAAAGCAAAATGTAACAAATAAAGCTGTTAAGAAAAAGAAAACCTGTCAAGCGTGTAAGCCTCCTCTTTTAGAATTATCACGAGACCCGCCATTGAAAAATCTTGGAATATTTCTTTACACACTTTCGGAAGGGTAAATTATCGAGCAATTAAAATTACGAAACGAGATGGGTCTAGGAAGGACTATTTTTTACTCTTCTTCCTGTTCTTTCAATAGGCTTACCGTGATTAGTCGATTAAAAGCGGCCTCGAATAAACGATCAATTAACGGTGCTCTGGAATAAACGCCGCACACAATCAGAAGAATGCGGCGTTTATTTGAGGATTACAAAAGAAAACTCGTTACAACTGGTACTCTACACCATCCAGACAATTACAATTCTATCTTGAAACTTTATGAAACATTGCGGCGTTTTTTTTTAGGTATGTCAAGCTGGTTCCTACATGCTTGTGCTTATATAATTATAGTTAACGTGACATTGCATGGCTTTAGATTTTGGTCAAAAGACAGTCGGTATATTCTCCCGGATTACTAAGTCTTGACTAATATTTATCCAGGTTTTGAGTGAGATGTCCTGCTTCACCTCAGGATAGGATATAGATTCGTTTTTTTTTTTGTTCCGTCTCTGTAAAAGAGACATGAATGTCTGTTTTTCGATACCCCTTATGTGCCTTAACACAATAAAGAATGCAACAGAAAATTAAAGTTTTTCGTAGACACTTTTCCAGTGCATGTAATTTTTATCGGTATGGAAGTGACGAAGTTTTTACTGTAACTTCTTTTTATAGTTCAAGAATTTAGTTGTTATATTTTACATTGTAACTTCAAGGTTTATTTTTGCTCGGATTATTGCCATTAATTAGAAAATATAAATGCAGATTTGTATTAATTATAACCGATCTGCTTCTAACACATATACAGACTATAAAATGAGAAAGGTACGAGTGATTCCTAGTTCTCAGTGACTGATTTAATTAACTACAGCAACTAATAAGAAACATTCGCAGCTACACAAACTACATCAACTACTCCAACCTACAGCAACCACACGAACTACACCAAACTACAGCAACTACACCAACCTACACAAACTACACGAAAGCCTTACCACCAGTGTCTCTGTATCATTATACAGTACTCTTTTACCATTGCTGATCCAAAGCAGTATGTTGAACGCATGTCACACATAAATCTAGTATCTAGTACCAGTTGTTGTTTATTCTGTGTGTAGAGGTGTGTCCTCTGCCTTAAATCCTTTAAGGTACAGTTCGTTTTTTTTTCTGTTATTTAATTGTCATAAAATATACTCCCTCAGAAAATATGGAGGATCTACGTGGAGCAAGCGTACAAACGCCTACACTTGGTGGAGACTTCCCAGGGCCATCAAGGGAAATACACCAGCACGAAGCAACTTTAGAGAGGCAGCTCAGAGAGTTGCGGCAACGTGAAGAAAACTTACAAAGACAGCTGAGAGAAAAAGACCAGGAAGTAAATGAGCTAGAGTTAAGTCTTTCCTTAGCTCAGCAAACAATAAGTGAACAGCAACAACAGGAATCATGCGATTGGGTCATTTCCCGCGATGAAATTCAGCTGACCAACAGATGCCTTGGCAGGGGAGGCTGGGGAAGTGTTTATGAAGGCGTATATTGTGGCTGTACTGTAGCAGTAAAGCAAATTCATGATCTGATTCTTTCCCCCCATAACATGCTTCTTTTTGAGAGAGAAATGAATATTGCATCCAAGTGCCGCCATCCTCACTTGCTTCAGTTTATCGGCGCCACTAACGATGAAAGAAACCCTCTGTTTGTGACCGAGCTGATGGAGAAAAGTCTGCGAGCTCTGTTAGAACAGCGACAACTCGCCGAAGTAGAAATACGCGTAATTTCTCTGGATGTAGCCCGAGCAATTAACTATCTTCATCAGAAGAAACCAGAGCCTATTATTCACCGGGATGTGAGTAGTGCTAATGTGTTGCTATGGCGACAGGGTGACAAGTGGAGAGGCAAAGTGTCAGATTATGGCACTGCTAATTTCATGCAGCAGACTATGACAGTGGCTCCTGGAGCTATGATTTACAGCGCACCTGAAGCACTTACATCAAACCAAACAGTCAAGGTAAGTTTCAGTGAATTTAGAATTTTTTTATTCAGCACTGGTTCATCAACATCATCAGACTTCAAAGAGACGCGTTGCTACAGTCATCTTGAGCGCGTAGCTACTCTAAGGCCAGGTTGTTCGCTTACGACACGATAGAAACCCTACTCCACTTTACCCTTCTTCACCTAGGCATGCAATTAAAAGGAGCAAAATAATGTTGAATCGGATAGCCCTGAGCAGAGTGGAATGGCAATATCCCTTGCTGCTTAAGCCCTGGTCAATCGTTGGTAACGGTGATAGCTCAAACCATCACCATTTGAATTCAAATGTACATGGCCCCAGTATTATGGTCGTTTTCAGGTGTTTATGCCACTAGAAAACAAACTTAAGCTGCAGTCGTCTGTTGTGATTGAAATGTTTCTCATTAGTTCTTCAGTTAATCATTTTGGCGACTTCGTAGATAAAACGATAGGGTCGGTGTTTTAAACGAAGTCCAACTTATGTCGCGGTTTAGGAAATCTTTGGACCTCCAGATCTCTTCCTGAGTGAGTTCTTTTAAGGTGGCTGAACACAGTTTCGCGGGCGGTCAGCGGTAGTGCATGTTTTAAATTAGACAAACAAACATGGCAACCAAAAAAGCAATGGTACACAGAAGACGATTTCTCAAAATCTGCTCATCAAAATTTTGTGATATTTGACAGAATTTTTACTTTTATCGTATTTTAAATAATGAGAACTTTAAAATGGGAGTTGAACAGACTAATTTTGTAACACATTTAATAATTACAGTACAATTATATTATTGATTATCTGAAAACCGCTCTGCTAAGATTTGGTCAAATAAGTTTCAAATAGTAATGGATAATTATAGTAAGCTGTGTGCGAGTTAATAGGAAAATCTAAAGAGCGAATTTTATGTAAACTGAGTAAAAGTGAAATTTTAAGGTTGTATTCAATCGTTCCCGTTGCCATGGAAACTACGTAAACGTCAAATTTTACCTGTCAGTCAAAATCTTTCATCACTATATTTTTCACTTGTCAAGTTTCAGCTTGTGAGCTGCAACCTTTCTCTTGCCATAATTTAGCAAATGAGCTATACTCAGAAACTGCCAAAACTGTGTTCAGCCACCTTAAGAAGATAAATGCTTTTCTTGTCCACATTATATGCTCTAATGAAACTGTTCACGTTAAGTGGTGTTTATATAAATTAAAAGCGTTCGGCAAACTGAAAATGGCTTAAAACGCGTTTTTGTTAAACACTGGTTAAACTGCGTTTAGATAACTGGCCAATAGAGGGGAACCTTTCTTCAACGACTGCCTTGTGAGAGAGAGTGACGTCCCTGCTTAAAAAGGTGACCATTGTAATAATTATATTCTCACCGGGGCTATCCGCAATCCGCAATGTCAGTAATGCTGATAAGATATGAGAGGCTCAGCCCGAGGCGGTAGGAGGGGGTTGCTCCTTTTTCGATTGCTACAATCACTGACAAAAGTTTTTGCACATTTGTCTTCAACGTGCGCTTTAATGAACAATTTCTTGCAGTAAATACACGACTCTAAATTCCAGCTCCTCCTGGGTATTGCAGTCAACAATGGTAATGCAACATTTGGGGCGGGGGATAAACAAGATTAATTACGGTGAAAAGACTGAATCGGGAAGAGAAACTAACCTTGAGTAAGAAACCCATGCACAATGCTCAGAAACGTATTACCGGTGGATTTCCACTGTCGCTTAATACGCGCGTATAAAATAGAGGCATTATATGGAAGGTCACGCGTAAACGAAAACGTAGAACCTCGCTTAACGAGCGTAAAAATTTGTTTGCGTATATGTACGTACGTGAAAATTACGCGATAGAGGAAACCCGTCCTTATAGGATAGGTACGGGCTATAGGCGGCGTGCTGTAGTAACAACATCTTTTTAAAAGACTTTCCTTATTAAAGCTTATTAAGGGTGGATTTCCATTGTCGCGTATGTGCGTAAAATTTACGTTCGCAAATAAAATAGAGGCAATGTTTGAAAGGTCGCACGATAAAATTTGAACCTCGCTCAACTTTAAAAAAAAAAGCTCAACAGTTTATATCTTGCCTCTATTTTATTTACGAGATTAAAATTTGCGTGCTTGTACACGCACGTAAAGATTACGCGACAGTGGAAATTTACCTTAAGAGGCATCAAAACCAGAGTAAGGTACAGTGAGTTCATCAGTTTTTCATTGTTTGCTTCTAAATGACCTGTATAGAGAGGTTATTTACTTATTAACTTTTCCTCCGTACAGGATAGGATGGGTTCTTATTCGAGATGGGCTACATTGTAATTCGAGGCTTCAATACAATACAATACAATACAATACAATACAATGTTCTTTATCTTGAGAGGGTAGATATATGATTAACCCAGTAAAGAGTTTTCTAACACATGGCTGAGGGCTTAATTCAATAAATACGATATGTGTTAGACTTTACAGTCCTTTATCTCCTGAATTTGCTAAGGAACAGTCAAATGGAGACGCGAACTTAACCCCCTCCCCTCGCCCTTAATCTGCATAATTCTTCAGATCATACTCAGCTTCATCTAATAAATGTTAAATAGCTAAATAAATTGAAAATGACACTAAGTGCTGGGTATAACTGGTAGTAGTATAATAGGATGCTCTAAGGCAAATAACAAGAAATAATCTGTATATTGTTCATAGGTTGATGTTTATAGCTTTGGTGTGCTTCTTTGTGAAATGTACATCCGGCAACTTCCAGATCCTAGAAGGCGTGAACAGCAAGTTCTACTGATGACGAATCGCGCCTTAAGAGGCCTGGTACGGCGATGCCTGCAGACAGATCCTGAAGCGAGACCAACCATGCAGGATATAATCGATGAACTATCCAGAGCTGTGTAACGTTTATCAAATATTTTCTGAAAATTTTCGCAGTTGACAGAATTTAATTGGTAAAATGTCTATTGCAGGAAGTCGTGTCCAGTTGTTTATCATGACAAAGTAGTGTACAAAAGTCTTACTAGGAAAACAATTACTTAGGTAAAAAACAAACCACTTATTGGAAGTAGCGAGGACTTTTCTGTAAAATTTTAGCAACGATACCGAGAAGCAATACAGCTGTGTGTAGTTTTTTGTATTTCCCAACGTGGTTAATAGCAAATGCCGTTTTTGGAGTAACGTTAAAAACAAGGTAGATTATAGGTCTGGGAGAAAACCACTGAGACGCTAGTCTATGTCCTAGGCTTGCTTATACGATGGTTAAATTGGAACAATAAAAAATAAATAGCTTTATTTTATTACGTTACTTTACAGGGGCGTAGCCAGGATTTTTCAAAGGAGGCGGGGGGGAACTGGGGGGGGGGGGGGTCAGGCTGTGTCACACCCAGGGTACTTACCAGATTGGTATCTCCACATCCAGGCCGTGTTTTACTACAAGTGACATTGTCTTGGATGAGCAGTGAGATAGCTGCATGGATTAATTCAGTTCCACGTAGCAAGAGCATGGTCCACTGCATATTCTCGGTCCTGCAAATGGGGTAAGCAACAATCTAGCACTGGAAAAGATTTATTTCGTGTTGATTCTTCGGATTCGCAGGTTCTTGCCACCTGAATTGTAGGGACATAAAACAACTACCTTACAAAGGGGGGGGGGGGAGGTCACGGGCACCCCAGAAGCAGCCCTAGCTACGCCCCTGTTTACATTCATTTTATTATTTCTTCTGAAGAAGTTCATACACACGAAGTAGACAATATATTTTTTTTAATACTGTTATAATCAGAATTGAAGAAACGAGTAGATATGGCAGTTGTTACAAGTTGTAGAATATACAATTAAATACGCGTAGTAGTTACTAAATGGCAGTTATGTTACTGGAGTAGACATGAGTTCCCTATGCCGGTAATAGGTAACTTATTCATGAAGCAAGGTGTACTTCAATTTCTATGTACTTACACGCAATTGCGAAAACGTTGTCATAGAAAAATGAAAAAAGGAGAAAAGCCAAATAGGAATTAAATAGCCGGAGGCTAATTAAGCCACATTCTCATGGTAGATTCATTTGCAGCCGTTGCATTTCCCTGCTGGAATTTTCAGTTTTATTATCTTTCAGCTTTAAAACAATAGCAAATTCCAACAGGCAAATACGACGTCCAAGTGCGGATGCTGCAAATGAAGCGATTAAGCTTATTAGCCTAATTAATTCTATTTGGCTTTTTCCTTTTTTCATTTTTCTAAGACAACGTTATTGCAATTAGGTGTATATACTTATTATCAGGTTGTAGACGTAAAATTGACTAAAGGTACCGGCAGATATGTCGCCTATATAAAAATTCAATTTAAAAATTCAATATATACCGTTGAATCCGTCCAGTAGTAAAGTCCATTAGATATTTGTAATAAAAGTTTCGTACCCAAAAGGTAACTTACCTATGAAATAGAATTTACCTAAATTTATGCAGTTGTAGTTATGTGCTTATGAAGTAGACAATGTTGAAATAGACAATATCGAGTAAAGAAACAATTGTATCAGTTTTTGGCTTATGAAACGTTTTACGCCGATTAAATGTGCAGAGTAGCTAGCACATTAAGCGATTGCAATATTAGAGTTTCCTATCCCATAGGTAACTTACTTGTGTAAAGGAATATACCTTAATTCATAAGTTACTTATGAGGTAGATCATGCGAATGAAATAGACAATGTTAAAAAGATATAAGATTAAACCTGCGTAACAGTAAGCGATGGTACATGTAATTAGAGTTATTTACAAAATCGATTGCACATCAATTCAAATTTGCTTATAAATTTAATCATCAGCTTAAAATAGACAATATTAATTAAAGAAACGAGTAGGTGTTTCACTTATACATGGTATACCATAGAGTTTCTTAATTCAACAGATAACTCGACTTATAAAATAGGATTTTACCCAAATTCGTGTTATTAATTTACTTATGAAGTAGGTCATGTACTTCAAATAGATAACATTACAAGGAAACGAGTAGTTATATGGCAGAGGCCTCTCTTCAGTAGTATAGGAGGGACCGGTTAGGCCCCTTTTTTTGGGAGGATTCTCATTAAGGTGAGGAGGAATACATTAACGCCGATGACCTCATAGGCTATTGTCCTCATCTCATGAATAAAATGTGGTAGATTTAATTAAGTATACTGGTTTGACTGGTTTGTCAGGTTCTATTTTTAGCCTGGTTGATATAACTGGTTTATTTTTGTTTTACGACATAACCTATTGTCTTGAACTCATGAATAAAATGCGGTGGAATAAATTAGCGTGCGGGGGAATACATTAATGTCACTGACGTCATTATCCAGAAAAACCAGTCCCAAAAACTGAACCTATTGTCAGAAAAAGTGAAGAACCAATGGAACTTGACCTTGTAATCAATGAAATTCAAAACAAGCTATTTGCGTAAAAGTAATAAAGCATGTACACGATTTGATCTTGATCCAGTGTGTATTTATCTGTCTACACGTTAACATGGGTCTTACTCTTTCTGCTCTAAGGCTACGATTTTACTTTTATTGCCTTGTGGCAAGGAATATACCATCAAGTGACAGTGCTTCGCTCACGGAGACATTTTGCAAGTTACCGGGATCTACGCTTGACAAGTTAAAACGTCTTCATTCAGAGGTGTTTACAAAAGTTCACTGGGGAAGATTACTAGTGTTCTTAAATTTTGTCCAGCAACTAAGACTGACTGACGAGGAATGGGAACAACTATTCCATTTTCTCGTTCCCACTCTTAACCAAACACAAGAATAGGTATATAAGAATGCGCAGCAGGAAGAAAAGTCAGTCGAGTGTTGACCTTCGCAGTAGTCACTAGTAATGGGTTGCTGGCCATCTTCACCCTCTCTGGTATTAGAGCGCATTTTCAACCGCATTCGTTGCGTATTTGCTTGTTGCGGTGGTAAAGTGATTGTTCAAAACTTCGAGTTCTGTGATGGAGAAAACGCTGTCCAGCACTTATCTCGACCCAAGTCAACCCGCAAGTTTCGGTGGTTTAGATGCTGTTTACAGAGCAGTCAACGAAAAAGGAAAGAGTAAGATATCGCGTAAACAAGTTCAAGATTGGTTGAGTCAGCAAGATGTTTATACTCTTCACAAGCCCACACGTAGACATTACACAAGAAGTCGAGTCATCGTTTCTGGTATTGAAGCACAATTTCAAGCAGATCTGGTCGACGTTCAAAATCTCAGCCGATACAACAAGGGATATAAATACTTACTGACGTGTATAGACATCTTTAGCAAGTACGCTTGGGTGGTGCCTTTAAAGACAAAACAAGGCCAAGAACTAGTCAAAGCTTTTCGGATGATTCTATCTTCTGGTCGTAAACCAAACAAGCTTCAAACAGATCAAGGCACAGAGTTTCTAAATCACGCGTTCCAGAAATTTTTACGTGACAACAACATTGCCTTTTTTACTGTAAACTCTGGGCTCAAGGCCTCGGTGGTGGAGCGTTTTAACCGAACATTTAAGAACAAGATGTACAAATATTTTACAGCTAAAAACACTCTCACCTATATCAATGTACTACCCCAATTAGTATCCTCTTACAATAACACTTACCATCGCAGTATTAAAATGAAACCGAGCCAGGTAACTAAAAAGAACGAAGCTAAAGTGTGGGATACCTTGTATGGGGATGATGTTCAAAAACCTGTGCGATATAAATTTAAAGTCGGAGATCGTGTGAGGATCAGCAAAGTGAAGCGAATGTTTGAAAAATATTACTTGCCTAATTTTACGGAAGAAATTTTTACTGCTTACAAGCGAATGACTCGTCAAGTCCCCGTTTATAAACTAAAAGATGATGCTGGTGAAATCTTAGATGGAACATTTTATGAACCCGAATTGCAGAAAATTATTAAGAACGATGACGTGTACGGTGTTGAAAAGATATTGCAGAAGAGAAAGCGTAAAGGAATCGTTGAATATTTTGTAAAATGAAAAGGTTACCCAGATAAATTTAACAGCTGGGAACCGGAAAGTAACATTTTAAAGTTGTAAAAGCCATTGTGCTTATGTGAATAAACGAGTAATGTTAAACGAAGTAGTGTTGTTGTGATTAGTTATAAATAAAAAAACCCAAGATAAAAAGTTCATTTTAACACGAGAGACCATGGAGTCAACACAGTTTTATCTACACCTCCCTAGCAATAGCAGCCTGGATAAATTTCCTCATAACACATTAACAGAGTACCGTGTTAGTTTACCTCAAACATTGAATCTAACGGGTGAATGGGAAGTTGCTTTGACCGAGATCCATTACTCGCATAGCTGGAATAGTATTCAACAGTTTCGATTTTACGTTCGAAATGAAAAACTCTACGGTGTTTGGGACTCTCTGGAGATGCTTCCGGGTCATTATTCTTCCATTGAAGACATCTTGTCAAAGATGAATGAGTTAGTGGACAATGAAAATCGGTATACAGATGATGTACGGTTTTCATACGATGATCTCAGCAGAAAGGTTACAGTTCATTTGAAAAACAACGCAGAAGTCTCGCTAAATGATATGGCCTATATGCTGGGGTTCAACCCCCGAACAAATTATTTCAAAGACCACCAAGGGGGACAGACAAGTGGATTTGGAATACGGCTTTCACGATCTTTTCGTTTGCTGTGATCTTATTCAGTCACAATATGTTGGCGATGCACTGGTCCCTTTGCTTCGAATTGTTCCCGTAGAAGGAGAGGATGGCCAGCGAGTTAGTAAATCGTTTTTTCGCCCTCAATTTGTACCTGTCAGCAGAAAGCAATTTGAAACCATCGAAGTCAATATAAAGCGAGACACAGGGGAATCTGTGCCATTTGAGTTTGGAAGAATGTTGTTAACACTTCATTTTCGTCAGAGTCAACCTCAGTACTTTTAAAAAAT